TAGTATGCAAAACTTTTTCAATTCGCTAAAAAAAATTGGGATATAGCGAAATACGCAAAAACTAAAGTTAACATTAAAGGATCCTGACTTTCAAGCACGTTACTGAAAAAACTATTAAAACACTATTTCTAGATTGAAACTACTATATTTTGGGGGTCAGAAATCCGAATCCGTCGAAAAATGGTTTGTTTAATCGGATAACGTTTTTATATCTAATTTCCTAACTTAAAATATCGTTTGGACTAATTAATTAGTATATTTGATGTCACCCTCTCGAACCATTAAGAATGAGTCCCAGAACATGAAGATCCGAACTTAAGATTAAAATTTATTCCGGTGGGTCCATTTATTTTTTTGCGCACTGTACATTCATTTGAAGTATATGTCAATATTGCTGATTATAGCAAAAGAATTTTTCTTTTTTATATAGAAAGGGAATTCAGCTTGTGGTTATCCATATGCTTTGATAATTTTAAGGATTATGATTGAAAGAGGATAATAAGGTGAAATGATGTTCACTTTCAATATTAATATCAGGTATAAATAAATAAAAACGTCTTTCATTTTGTCCTCGTCATATCTCAAGAACGTTTTATGTTTCGATAGAATCGAAAATGTTTTTGTACAATTGCAAAAATTCGTTTTTCCAAAGGTAATGCCATGCAAAAAATATAGTTTTAAATAGTTATAAAATATTTGATATTTTTCATATTTATATTTATAATATGCGTTGGAAAAATTCTGAATCTCGATTTTTGAAATCCCCGTGCAGTAAATGGCGACTGATGCACGCTAAATTTGTTGAGTCGCAAAGTCCTTCATGTTCCCATAACAAATCAATACCTCTGGGGGTACTTATCCAGGAGTTTCCCTGTCTTCTGGATAGGTTCAAAATTACAAGACTACGGAATTGAACATTAGTAGTCGTAAACCCGAAAATTGGTTCAGTTGTTCAACGACGGATAAAATAAAATAAAATAGCAAGACATACAAATTTTTATATAATTTTATGGAAGGTAATTTTAAATTGTAAAATACAAAATTTGAATGAAATCGGTTGAATAATTCGAGATAAATAAAATTTTAAGCAAACTGAGTTTTTTAATATTTGATAAAACAGAAACTAATTGATCGATTGCTCTGAAAGGTTGTATTTTGAAATTAAAAGGATGTAAAAATATGTAGAACATACAGTTCAATATATTTTACTATTATTTAATAAACTAATAAAAAATAACAAATAACTATTTAAAATTATTTTTGCTTAAAAATTTGTGTATAAAATGTTTTTTGTAATTTTATGTAAACATTTTTCAATACACTCAAAAAGTTCTCGAGATAATGGGCTATAATCGAAGAGTGAAGTTAAAATTAAAGGACCCAAACTTTCCAACTCTCTCCTTGCAGTAACTGTAGTTTAAAATTTTGACTCAAGTATTAGGCTAAAATTCTGGCTTTTTTATTTTCTTTATCGAAAGGGTTTCGAAAAACACCCTGTATAATTGAGCATAGAAAATAACTAAAAAAAGAAAAACTAGTTAAAACGAAGGAAAGTTACTATAAGCAATTTTAACCTATCTAAGAAGCATACGGAACTTAAAATGGAAGTAAATACGATGGTAATAAAAAAGAAGAAAATTCTCATAAAAAATAATTAGCACAAAAATGAAACTTGAGGTAAAACTAAACATACATCGCATAATCTTTTTATTTCCAATGGCTAATGTCAAACTCTTATAAGATTAGCAAAGAACAAGAATAAAAAAGAACACAATGAGAGAAAAAGTCCCATCAGCAGATCTTGAGTCACTCCGGAGCCCCGACGCAGAGTCGTGCATACCAACAAATGTCCATGATTTCGTCTCTTCCACATAGTGGGCAATTTAGGACTCGTGAAAATGCTAATTTGGCGAAAGTCGTTCGCCAAACAGTCATGGCCGACCACGAGTCTGAATTTCGCTTTTCATGGGGCTTATCTGAATATATTTTAGTCTAAGCTTCAACTTCTTGAAGAAACACGAGCAAGGCTTTCCAATTTTGTCTTATATGTGAAGTTTTGTGGAATGTAAAGAGCAAAAAGTGTTTAGCTGTTGAATTACTTGAGTGCACTTCTTGGTCAACATATCTGCTTGTTCGTTGCCGTGAATATCGCAATGTCCTGGAGTTCCTTGTAGTCCCTCGGTCCTCAGAAACTTCTCCAGAAAAACCCGACAATCTAGGACATTTCCTTTCCTTAGATCCGGCAGCCTGCATGGCAGCTTTGGAGTCAGATAAAGAGATCACTGAATATCTATATCACATCCGGTTCCCCGAGCTAGACCTGAGTATTTTACTCTTTCTCTCTTGCAACAGTCCTGTTTTCAGTTTCTGATTTTCATTAATTATTACATTGTCATGGTGAGCAATTATTCCATTCCATTTATTTAAAAAGTCTGGTTATCATTTACAGATTACTAATTTTTAGACTATTGGTATTCTTTCATTTTTGTTGCGTTTATATATTTATTAATTATATCATACTTCTTTGCTTGTTATCAATGTTCACCCTCGCTTTAGTTTCCAAATGAACTAGTAATGGCTTTTTGTCTTGGTTCGGTGTTGTATCAGACCCTGATCGGAAGTAACAGACAGCGTGTTCATCGTGCGAGGAGACCCGTGTCCCTGGAAAAGGGGATCCTGGTAGTTGAAGGTCTACTTTGATCCAGAGATGGGCATTAGTCATTCAGAATAATGAATAATTATTCAAAATCTGAATAATGAATAAATGATAAAGATTTATTCATTAGTCATAATAATGAATAAAGATTTATTCATTAGTCAGAAATATTTTGAATAAAGAATAAATCATTCATTATTCTTTATTCGAATAAAGAATAAATCGTTCATTGTTCTTTATTCAGTATCCTTTATTCATTAGTCAAGAATAACTGAATAATTTCACTGGTCAACAAAAATAGGCACGGAATACTCTGACTACGATTATGACAACTACAAATAAAACGTTAATCCTTTTCAAGTATATTTATGTAATGCTTGAGGAAATTTACTCTTGTCTAACATATTGCATACTTTTGAGAAATGGTTCCATGGCAAAAAAGCGTTTAATTTTTTAAGTAAAAATTTGTTTTAAAAAGTTAAAATAAGATTATCGTTTGCTTTCAAAAACTATAAGAAATTGCGTCTTATAGGTTTTGGAACAAAATTTTAAAATGAACTTAAGTAACTAAACTGTTATAAACCTACTTTTTAGCACAACTAAGTATGTTATGCTGGAGTAAGTTAAAATAACATAAAAATAAATATTCATACTTGTCTTAGTTTTATAGTTAAATTAAAAGTATTATAAGACATTTAAGAGCAAACGATGTTTTGTATCTCGTTATAGACAAAGACATATCGATTGCATTTTTCGCTGGTTATTCAAAATTTTATTCAGAAAAATTAGTCATGACTAATGAGTTTATTCATCAATCATTATTCATAATTTTTTATACATTTGCATAATGAATGATGAATAATGACTAAATGTTCATATGAATAATCATTCAGAATAAATTTATTCTGAACAAATTTAGTCATGAATAAAATTTTCGTGAATGATGCCCATCACTGCTTTGATCCGTGCTTTAGGTGAACGGGGGTTGCATATTGGTCTGTGTGCAATCGGCTAGACACGAACGTCATCTGTCGGCTAGAGTTAAGCCCGGGGTCACTTACTGGGCACCTAGTTAAGGGTAGAGGCTGCTTCAGGGGTTGATTTTCGGGCAGAGTAGTCAGAACATGAGATAAAAATGCAGCGAATGGGAGCTCCAAAAGTAGCGGATTCGAACATTATATATATATATACAAATGTATCTAGTTTAGTATCAAGTAGAGCTATAAGCGTATTCTTAACGATTCTATAAAACTATTGTTTAAGCTATTGGTCAGCATCGGTGTTACAGATTCCTACTTGCATCCCCACTCCGTGGTCGGTGGTGGCGCTGAAGTTCGTTTGTTTTTCTATGGCAGAAAATAAGCAGATGGTGTTCAGTTCCGCATACCGAAACAGAACAATCCCTATACCTAGCTTCAATCTTGCGAAATGCACAAATTACAACCACACTACAGCAAAATTCCTGATACTTAGTTCTACAGAAAAAAAACTCTCTTCTATGTCACAATTTCTAGTTCAAAACTTGAAACAAGCATTGGGAATACAAAAAAATGTCAAATACATGCCATTAGAAGATTTAGCCGAAAAAAATAGCAACAAACAAACAGCTTCACTTATAAAATTGAATAAATTTGGAAACGTTAAAATTACAGTAAACCCTCCCGACCCTGCAAAATATATTTAAAGGCATAATTTCTGTTATATGATGAAATGTATGTAAACAAATTGTAATTTATTCTGTAAATAAACTTTTAAAGTATATTGGATACTTGTAAATAAAATTTTCAATTCATTTTTAAAAAACTTAATTTTATTTATCTTTACTTTATTTTACTTATATGAATAATTTAAACAACATAAGTGAAGGGGGAGGAACGGTCCATTGGTCACAAAAATGACGATTGTATCGTCATCTGTTGCAATTTGAGGACAAATCAATAAAAAGGAAAACAAGATCTCCCCGAAAGTTGGCCGAAAAACAGAATCTGCTTCGGTTTCTTTTTTTCAAAATCAGCTCATATGGACATAAATCATGAAAGGATAACATGATATAAGAAACAAGGTCCTAATAAATATACACATTTGCTTGTATGTATATATATATATATATGTATATATATATATATATACCNCTTATATATATATATATATATACCGTTTATAGTGGAATTATTGAAGGTTGAAATCAAGATTATGTTGGTCCATCAATGGATAACCATTAAAAGTTTTGACTTGATTATTTACAAAATTTTAGTCCATTCACTTAAATGGATGCTCACCAGTAGGCAAAATAACGTTTTAAATGATAGATTATTTTAATCAAATAATGAATATTTTTCCTTACTTTTTGGTACTATGATTTGAGGTTGGTAGAGACCACAGCTGATGACCATCATTTTTTAACATTGTCACAAAATCATGTTTCCATAAAATTAATCCTTCAGTTATTGATAGAAATTTGGATTGAGATAATATTCCCACTTTTCTAAATAAATAAACATTCAGTTAATCATAAATAAGTAACTTTTTTAATGGAATTTCAAACATAAATTTAATGGGATGCCTACAAGTGACATAGTATGGGTATCTCTAGCCTGATTGGTTGTGAAAACGGGGGTTGTTTACGTTAGTAACTGTTCTTTACATTCTATTTCAAGTTAACTTACCCCGTCAAGTATGTAAGTGATACATTCTATAATCACTCCCAAAGATTCTTTCACCATATATTTCTCACTTAACATAAAGACGACGCCATGTAGATCATAAACAAACTAATTGTGCATTGAAGTTGCCAGGTGCACAAAACAAAAATATATCACAGTTACAATAAAATGTATAAACAAATAATAAATCTAAGAAAAAATTATATTTCAACAAATTTAATGTGCGATACGGAGCTGTGTTTAATTAACTTTACGTTAATTAACATTCTTACTCATGTGGAAAAACTTAGTCAACTTTGACACGCTATTTTTGACAATTAGCTGCCGCTGACGTCACAGATCACATGTGAGTTGGGTATGTTTGTTCTCCTTCGGAAGTGCAAGTACCCAATTATAAAGTGATTAATTGACTGACGAATGACTTTTGAAAATCAGTCGTAAAACAGAAAATGTTTCTAAAAATATTTAAATAATTTTTATTGATCTAAAAAAAGAAACTTTGGGTTGTGCGTGGTCTAAGATTTCCTTTTCTTTTTAATCTTTGAAAATGAATAAAGAGAGATGGATAGAAATATTTAGTTTTCCTTTTAAATCATTATGAGATCCTGTTAGAACTCTAAAAGAACAATTTGATTTTCTTTGGGTATGTTTTTCATTTTCATTTTTTTTGAACCCCTGCTTTAAAATTTTAAAAACCTAAAATTTTGCCCTAAGCTTCCAGGTTGCTTTTACTAGAAGTGTAAATTTCGCAGATAATTTCATATTAGTCAATAATTTTTCAAGCTAATTTCGAAACAGGTTATGAAATTAGCAGTAAAAGCGTATTAAAATAAATTCACAGATCTATGGTACTTATTTAACTTTTATACATGAGTGAGTAGTTATTACAAATGGTTCTAACTAGTTAATGAACAAGAATTTATCGATAAAATTTACACAGAATGTAGAAGAAATTTCAAAATTTTGTACACATGTGTCACCGATTTTCTATGTGACTTCCCTTGGTCACATGGACAACATCTAGGTCATTTCACGCCATACATTCTGAAGCATTTGTGCAGTCACCGAAGCAAGCTCATTACAAATGCGTTCTTACAGTGGAAGGCTTCTCCATTTCCGATATTCAACAGTTGTGCTGGTTAACCTTCCCACTTCTTTGGGAGGTTGCTGCATCGTTAAAAATGAGCCATCGCTTCATCATCCATGCTTTCCAGCATAAACGTAGCTTAATTCATACGTTTGCTGTAGTGCTCCTGTTTCAGTTGCTGCACAAATTGAATTCTGTAAGGTTTTAGTTGCAGCCTTTGTCTGAGAACGCACCATACCATTGTTTGTAACTCCCTACTGCCTTCGTACGTCAATTTTCGTGGGTTTCGCTCATACTTGCGGCGAATTTGCTCAAACATATGACCTTCAACTACTTTTCCTTTTGCACAAACATACCGTTTCTTCAAACATCCCATTTGGAGGTTCTTGATTGACGAAATCTTCTCTGCACTGAGATAACAGAATGACAATTGTTAAATTCTAACGGACATTTTTACTAATGATTACGCTGCTCCTTACGTAAAAAAATTTTCCATTTACATTCTATGTTAATCTTATCGATAAATTATTTTTCATTAAATAGTTGTTTGTGATAACCTTTAGAATTATCCTTTATAATACAGTCTTTGAGACCAGAAGTTGAATAAGGAGTGCTGGAATCATTGGTTATTACTAAGGCCCGGATTTTGATGACATTTGCATTTTTTTGCATTTTTTGCATTTTTGGACATTCTTTGTCCTTTAGAGCATTTTTTGAGATTTATAGGGCATTTTCTTTAAAATTTTGGGGCGTATTTTGCATTTTAAAGCATTTTTTAAATTTTTTGTTACATTTTTCTAATTTTTATTATTTTTTTATTATTACACTGGCTTCCAAACAATGAAGAAAATTTCTAGGATATTAACGGGTGAAGCAGCATCTTTTCAAATTGAAGAAAAATTGTCAGTAAGTGTGACCGTCCTTTTCAAGTACGCACCAATAACATCAGTAGACGTTGAAAGAAGCTTCTCCTGGTATAAAAATTTGCTTTCAGACAAGAGACGCTCGTTTACATTTCAAAATATTAAAAAAAAATTTAATAATCCACTGTAATTCTGATATTTAGTAATATTATGAGATGGAAGTTGTTATATTCATTTAAGTTTCTATACAAAATGAAAATGTTTTGGAGTCAATATATTTTCCTTTTTTTTTTTTTTGTTATTTTAGGATATAAAACATATTTTTCAAACTTTAATGAACGTAGAACAAGTATTGCATTGCTTTATATTTTTTGAAACGACTCATAATAATTTTAAAGAGTAAAACATTGTTTTAGTTCAATATTTTTACTTCTATTTAAGTCATGTCATAAGGCATTTTTAGCGCAATTTTCGCATTTTAAGGGCATTTTTTGCACTTTTAAGGGCATTTTTTGCAGTTCATAAGGGCATTTTTTGCACTTTTTAAGGGCATTAATTGAGATTTTTTAGGTCATCGAAATCCGGGCTCTAGTTATTACAGTTCAGCTTTAGTCAATAGAGGTCTGTACAGCTAGTATTTTAAATTGTTCACTCAGTAAAATATCAAGAAAATGTGTGTATTTCTAGAGTTAAAGTTATTTTCTGTCTTGAATTTTAAGGTTTATACTTACTCTGATGTTAGAGTTGACATTTTAGCGATTTCACTTTTGTCACTTCTACACCATTCTTCTTGAGAAATTTTCATCAACGTTTCTATATTAAAATACATTCCAATTAATAATGAGCTTTCTTTTATGTGTGCATTAATAGAAAGGAAAGTATAGCTTGTCTACTGTAAGAATTTCCTCAAAGTTTGAGGCCGTCTCCTGCTATGAAAACAAGAATAGCGGTACACAAGTCAAAATTTCTGATGGTTTTTCATTGATGGACCAACATAAACTTGATGGTACTCATCAATAATTCCCTTATGAACCACTATATTTTTGTGATGGTAGCCAACATAAGTAACCATCAGCCCAATGTAGGAATTCGGACTGATTTATGATGATCCAACATAAGAATAACAATTTCTTTTGTTGGTTTGTTTATGTTGAACCATCAGAAATTTCCATCATAGTTTATAAAAGAAACATAAAAGAACCCAAATGGTTATGATGGTATATTCTTGCTGAACCCACAAGACTTTCCATTAAACCACCATAGAAATGTATTGTAGTACCATTATGAACCATCACGAACTTCTATAGTGTACTAGAAATCAATTGTTGGAACGATCATGAACCATGAACAACCATCATTCCAATGTAAGAATTCGGTCTGATTTATGATGGTCCAGCATAAAAAATATATTGTTTTGATGTATATTCCTGAGAACTAACAAGAATTCTCATTAAACCATCATGGAAATGTACAGTTGGAACCATAATGGACCATCACGGATCCTCATGGACTGTTAGTTCATGAAAATCAAACTTCTCTCGATGGTAAACCATCATAGTATTAATGTAGCATTTTCCAACATGGAAGGATGGAAGTTTGTTGGCATATCATACACAAAACGCATAATGTAAGATGTTCGATGAGGATCACTATAAAAGTATGTTGGACCATCATGAATCGCATTGAAACCAACATAAACAATCAAAAAAATTTTATGGGATCATTAAGAATTTTGACTTGGGTAGCTTCTAAAACAATTGACCAAAAAAAAAGATTCTCAGGCTGATCCGAACCAAATCCTGCCTTAAACAATGATCCCACACCTCTACTTAAAATATTTATACCTCGTTACCACAGTCACCTCCATGGGTCCAGAGGAATGGCTAGAGGAGTTTTTGCTTTAGACAAACTATATAACATCTTTGGGGTAAAAAGAAGCCCCGAAAAGGTGATAATTGAAATTTATTTCTTCAAAATAGTCTAGACCAACTTCATTGCAAATGTTTTTTTCCACCCAAATTATGCTTTAAAATCGTTGAATTAATGAACCACACGATAAGAAAATGTTTTATTGACAAATAATAATATTCTGGACCGATTTCATTGCGAATGCTTTTTTCACTCAAATTATGCTTTAAAATCGGTGAATAAATGAACCACACGATAAAAAATGTTTTATTGATGAATAATAATATTCTGGACCGACTTCTATGCGAATGTATTTTTCACTTAAATTATGCTTTAAAATCGATGAATCAATGAAACACAAGATAAGAAAATGTTTTATTGACGAATAATAAACGGAGTTTCTCTTCACATTTTCCCGACCTTCAAATCAATATTAACTCGGTTGGAATGGAATGTTGTGACAAAACTTGATTTTAGAACGATTTTTATCTGGCTATTCAAGTCGTGCTTTATAAAGCCGTATATTTGAGTTGTTTCCAAATCAAAAGTTTCATCATGAGTTTTAAAAAGGAATAAACTTGTGTCTTTTGAGTCACTTTAACACGTTATTTTTCTAAAACTCAAGATTCGACACGTAGCACGAACTTAAAAATTCTCGTCATCTTGGATTTTAATTTTTATTCGTGATACTTTTTCGTGAACTTTTGATGATCATTTAATAACACAAAAAATCAGCTAGAAAAGTATTATAAGGAGAAACATTCAGTGTACATACTCAATAACCCCAAAACAATTAATTTAGTGATGGAATAAAGTCAGTAATTATTAAGATTGTGTTCATTATTGACAATGATTGCGTAGTAATTGACTACTCTGTTAAAACGTGTTGTCTAACTGTAAATGATAAGTAGTAGTATTTAGTTCAAAATATACTTGTAAAAATACGTATACTTTTTTATTCGTCTGTGTGACATAGTTTTTCTGCAACAAAGATAAAGATAGAAATTAATTGTCAGTATACAAATTTGCCATGTTAAAGCATTTAAAAAAATTAATAATCCGCTACTTTAAGCTCATTTAAAAATGTTACATTTTAGAATGTTTGAAGTTTAATACGTACGACAAACAATATTGTTACCTTATTAAAATTTCATGCCTAAAATATTGTAAAATAATGAATAAACATCTTTATTTACATTTCGTGAACATAGACTGTTCATGTTTTTGATGCATCATTATTTAAATTAATTTATAAATGATTAAAAAAATAAATAATTATATGGTTTATTCAAAATGGTGTTTACGTTGAGGGAAGAGCAGAGCTAGAAAGTTGGTAAAAGTTTTATTCACGAAGTTTTTAAAAAAAATGTGAAGGTCTAATTTAACATTTTGTTGGCTTCATATAAGCTTAGGCGATTAAAAGCATTGAATTTGATATATTTTCGTATCAGAATATGCATAAATGCTCACTCCAACTAAAAGGTAGACCTGAAAATTTAAATTTTCATTTAATAACCAGTAGTTGGTAGACTCAACTGACTGTCTCTTTTTCTTTAAACCTATTGAGTTGGTGACCGATATCGATAAGCCCTTTTTATTTAAAAACCACTTTCTGTATTTTTTTAAAACTTTGATTGAGTTGCATTTTTAAAAAAAAATTCCGATTAGAAATAGTCTACGGCTATAAAAATTAATTCAACAATAAAAATGATATAAATATATGATAAAATTTAGTGAAGCATACTGACTTTTATGGAACGTTATGTAAAAATATTTGGGGCAGAATATACACCAAAAGTATCCGGTTGTTATGGTAGTGTGTGTTTCTCGTGATTTGGCCCCTCTGTGTTTGGAACTCTTAATGCACTCTATGTCAATATTTCAGCCAGCATTCACACATCGAGGCTTGCACAATGAAATGGGTGTTCAAAAAGCCCCGATTTACTTCGGGACGTATTAGACTACCAGCCAAATCGACCATCCTCACTTCAGCTGTGATGGAATCAAAAACTTCCCAGTCATCAATGCAACATCATATTAATCAGGACAGTTCATACCACTGGGTGTCCTTTAGGCCAGTTAGTGTATTTAATGTATGTGAAGAGAAATCAACCAAAATTGATAGATTCTCAAAGTATCCTTTCGATTGATATACTTTTACATAAAAAGATTTTTTAAATAAAGCAATGGAAGAAAATAACCGTCTATTTAAGTGACCACTTTTTTTGTTAACTTGCTACATGGCAAGTAGTTATTTTCAGGTCAATTAAAAGAGTTATATATTTTAATAAAGCTATATATTTAATTTATAAAAAGTTATATATTTATATATATTAAGAGTTCTGTATTTTAATTTTTTTTTAAAGGAAAAGATAGTTTGTTTGGGAGTGCTTATGAGTTAGACTCTTTTAGCTAATACCCTTCTTTGTGTTACGTTTTGCTTCTTGTGTGGCCATACATGGATTTTTCATGGTTTTTTCATCATGGAAGGTATTACAAACTTTTAAAATCATTTTCGAATTAATACATTTAAGCTTCAAAAAATATTTAATGTTTAATAGTATTTTCCTTTATAATTTCAGCTCTTCAAGAAAATTTTCAGAAACTTCTCGGAATCCGATACAATTTTGAGAAGGCAACTGCAAATAGAAGTTGCACACTCAGATGGAAAGTTAGGAGTTCGATCCTAACAGCAAATAAAGTGTGCATATGCTAGGTGCACTTTAAATCTACTGGGGTGGAAAGTCCTCTTCTTGATTTTATTTTATAACCGCCGTTGAACAGCCAACCCAATTTTGGGTTTACGACTACTAATGTTCTACTCCATAGCCTCGTAATTTGTAAGCCAATCCAAAAGACAAGGGAACTCCTGGATTGGGAGAAATTCGCTTTCGTGGAGGACTTTTTGATGAAACTAAGCCGCATTTGCGTTACATGGAGAGGAAAACAACGAAAGCCTCCCACGGTTAGCCTGACAGCAAGGGGACTCTAACCCATGATCCATTTACCACTGAGGATATTTTGTGCACTGTGGTCAGTGCATGCCGGGTGTGAAATTCAAATCAGTAGCTAATTTATTAATCCCAGTAACTTAGTTCCATCTTCTTTTTTTTTAAAGTCCCGTTTAAGATATTTACACGTAACTCCTCGTTTGTTTTTACTAGGTTCGTAATGCATAATCTCATAACAGCGAAATACAAGCAATTCCATTGAACAAAAATTTTATTTTCAAAAATTTTACTGATGGTACTCAAATTTTGATTTTTAATATTAAAGGCAACTTTTAAGAGATAGTGTAAAAAAATTTATGTTTTTTTTTGTCTCATTCCTGAATGCAATTAAATGTTTGTGCAAATTTAACTTTGATAAAACACAATATTAACTACTTTTTTTCGATTTTGAAATTTAGATGATATGTAAACTTTTTGGCTAAAATTGTTGGTATAATACATAGTACCCTTAACTGATTATCAAACTGTTATAAGTTTCTGATGTGAAAACGTAAAAACTATTTTTACATTAAGAGAAGTATTAGCAAGTTGTGTTATATGAAAAGCTTTCCTGGTTTCACTTGCTGAAAATATTTCTACGGGTGCCTTTGGGTTTTGTTAAGTAAAATTTCAGATTCTAAACCGATTAAGTTACGTAAGTATTTCTCCATTGAATTTCAGGGGAAAAAGAAGTGAATAATTTAAATATTTTTAAATTATTTTCTTTGTCGTCTTAATTATTACATGGATCTAAATGACATATAGTTTAATTTTAAAGAAAAAAAACAAAAATTTTTTAAAGTAAAAATTTCTATTCAATTCAAATGTAAAATAAACAAGATTTATAAATCATCTGAAAACTATAATTTATCAAAATAATAATAATAATAGAGTTAGTACACCAAATACAGACAGTCCCACAAAATTATAATAATAGAGATAGTACACCAAATAGAGATACAAAAATGTTGGGAAAAAACTTATCAATAAAAATCAAGAAGGAAGAGATGGGGTAAAAATAAAGTAGGGCTTATCAGTCGGGGTGAACACTCATCCCTGTTAAATAAATAGTTTGTGGGACACATTTTTCCCTGCAAGATTTAAATAGATAAATATATGACGTATGTTCTTAGGATGCTATTGGCGTATGTTCGATCCCCACACTGGACAAAATAGAAAATCATAATTAAGAAATATTTTATACCCAGTAAATGATGAAATCAAATAAATATAAGATTAATAATCAATTTATGACTCATGTCTAATAATATAAAATAATTCTATACAAACTTTTTATTTAAAAGAATAAAACAGTTTTTTTTTAAATTGATTTGTTTAATTTTAAAAATATAACTAATTGCAAAATTAATTAATATAAATTTTTATACACTCATTATTAATAATTATTTTGTTTCATAATCATTCAAAAATTATACAGACAAAAATTATAAAATAATATACATTATTAAAAATATATTAATTAAATATTTGTGAAATCAATTACCTTTATTTATAATAAACCCTGGCCTTTTTTAATATATTATGCTTTCCTTCTTAAATCATTTATTAATTCATATGATANTGTTTCAAAATCATTCAAAAATTATGCAGACTAAGAAAATTCTCTATTAATAAACATTTAATGTTATAAAATAATATACATTATTAAAAATATATTAATTAAATATTTGTGAAATCAATTACTTTTATTTATAATAAACCCTGGCCTTTTTTAATATATTATGTTTTCCTTCTTAAATCATTTATTAATTTATATGATGTACAACTCAACCCCAATATTAAATTATCTTTTTAATGCCATACTAAATAATATTTTTTAAATGATGTATAAAATTGCATACCTTAACATTTAAAGTTCTTCTACCATTTTCGAAGAAAATAATAAAAATAATTAATAATTACTGAAAGTTATATTTTTAGTGGAGTTTTTTTTTTCTTTATTACTTGACATCATTTAAGGAATAACATTTAAGTATTTTATGGAATTAAAATAAAACAAATGACCAAAAAATGAAGAGAATCTCATAAAATCAGCAAAAATGAAATTTATCTTATCTTATTACAGCAGTGCGTGTTAAATCAGAAAGTATTACCATTTTGGAAAAGCTATTAGAGTAAAGAAAGATTAACAAAGTGTTACGTACCATTTTCTCCCTCTTGGCATATAAAAATGAGATCAGTTTCGTTTTGTTTCTTCCAGGCCATTAAATGAACAGGAATAGAATCGCAACCTTTTATCTGTATATTTCTCATAGAAAGAATTCTAATTTGTGATTTGGACGTAGCAACAGCTATCTCATCAAGTCCATCTTTATTACAATCGGGTAGAACAGTTAAAGAAAAATTGCTAAGATTCAGTTTTCTTTCCCATATTTTTCTGCCTAAAAGTTAAAATATATTTATGTCATGTTTTATTAACGTGTTATTGAACAAGTTTATCAATGAGCGATAAATCAATGCATCGGAAATTATCGATTCTATGTAATCATAGCCGATCCGATGTTTGGATTTTATTTTATTTTATAACCGTCGTTGAACAGCCGACCCAATTTTCATGGGTTTACGACTACTTACGTTCAACTCCGTAGCCTTGTAATTTTGAACCAATCCAGAAGACAAGGAAACTCCTGGATCAGTACCCCCAGAGGTATTGATTTGTTGTGGGAACATGGAGGACTTTGAGACTCGACAGATGTAATGTGCATCAGTCACCATTTACTACACGGGGAGTCTTCGGCCGGCGAGGATCGAACCCACGACCTCTTGGATATGGGCCCAGCGCCCTACCGATCAGGCTATCCCGGCCCCGTTGTTTGGATTGGCAATTTCTCGAAGCATCGCTAATTGTGATTTACTGAGATGAGTACAATATTTCCGGATGTATCGTTGACGTTGATGTCTACACGCCCGATGTTCCCGATAGTACATGCATGTCTGCAAGCTCGCGCGAAGAGCATTCTCCTCTGTAAGTGAGAAGTGATAGCTATAGCGATGATCGTTATCTTTTATTTTATTTTACATCGTAACTGATCGTTTTGTTGGCATGATGGATACGAATGTGATTGAGAATCGAAGTGTAGTTGAATCCCTTAGTTATGGAAGGGTTTTCTTTTAATTGTGTGTGTGCAAATCCTGTTGATCAATCTAGCCGTTTAAAGTATTTTAACCACTATTTTGCAGACATCCACGTCTTTAAATATTGAGAAATAATTATAAAAAAATGCAACGTTTATTTAAAAAAAATGCATCTCACGATGTATCGAAATATCGCGATGTTAGCGCGATGATACATCGCAATGCCAAAATCTTAACATCACCCAGTCCAAGTACTGAGACACAAAAATTAAAATAAAATTTTATTTCGGCGGAGGAAGGGCAAAACTTGGTGGAAAACCTTGGAAAGGGTTATTCATATCTTTCTGGACAGACTTGTCTCAAAAAATTATCTCATTAAAAATTATTTCATATTTGGATAAACAAATTTAATAATTTTGCGCAATAAATCATTGATTCGCTTTAGACGTTTTCGAGATATAGCAAAATACGCGACAACAACAACAAAAAAAAATTAAATTAACAATTAAGGTTTAAACGTTCGACTGCTCTCTTCCTAAATTATTGCGATCCTATTTTCTAGATTGCTGCCGCCCTAATTTGTGGATAAAGAGGCTGAATCCGTAGGGGGGGGGGTGAAGCATTTTTTAGGGATAAAATACAGGTTAATTCAAAATGAATATAGCGAGCAGCGATGGCTCAGAGGATAGAGCGTTCGCCTTCCAATGAGGTGAACCGGGTTTAAATCCCAGTCGATACGAATTCCACATCCGGCTTGCATGGACCACAGTACTGACGTGAAATAGCCTCAGTGGTAGACGGATGATGGGTTTGAGTCCCCCTGTCTTCAGGCTAACCGTGGGAGGTTCTCGTGGCCTCTCCATGTAACGCATCTGCGGGTTAGTTCCATCAAAATGTCCTCCACGAAGGCAAATTTCTCCCATTACTCGATACGAAAGTTCCCTTGTCCTCTGGAGTGGATTCAAAATTACAATTCTACGGAGTTGAACATTTGTAGTCGTAAACTCTTAAAATTTGGATCAGCAGTTCAACGACGATTATAAAAAAATGAATATAGCGATTACAAACGGCTGCAACTATTTAATGAAAAGAAATTTATCTATAAAATTTAGACAAATGCAGAAGAAACTTTGTATACATGCATCATAAATTTTGTGTGTGCGGCGAATTGTTCCGCCGAAACACCGCTACTTTTCCCGTTTATTCAAATATCCTGATTGGAGGATTGTAACGCTGTGATACAAAATTTCACAAATGAACTTCTTTACGTAAAAAAACTCCATCTACATTCTATGTTAATCTTATCAAGAAATTATTTTTCATTAAATAGTTGCATTACTGTTTTCTTTAGTTAATTAGCATATTTAAGGATAGACTCCATTAAAATTGAGTCTTAAGTACAATCCAATCATTAGACTAAACAATATTCATGGTTTGCAAAGTAAGTATAAGCATTAACTATATTTACATCGATAATTATTTTCTCTACTAATAAAACAGTTCGATCAAGTGCCACAAAGGGATTGTTTAATCTCTCGTTTTTAATTGCCTTACCAAATTATTTAAATTAAAAGTTAGTTTTCATTGGTTTGTGACACCCGAGAATACACTATCTGACGTATCTGGACACCCAGTGGACATTGATTTAAATATGCTTGACCACCATCAACTCTCTTAAGTATTTCTAATTAATTAAATAATTGAATGAGTTTATAATTACTGAGCACAATGGGGCTTTCAAACTGATTAAGTCTGATGGGCATTGAAAGATGTTTAAACAACTGGCTTTTCAATAGTTTGACGAAATAATTTATACTTTATGAGTTTTTTATTTGTTATACTCTTATGTTTTTTAATTTAATTATTTTAATTAGCTTTTTGGTTTTGAAAATTATTTTATTATTCGACAACTGGTTATCATCTAATTATTTTTTTTAAATTATGCATGTAAGGGTTTTAAATTATAAGTTTTCATTTTAAGTTAGGACCACACGTTTAAAAATGCTTTATTTTATGTGCATTGATTTTTTGGGGGTGTGGTGAATTCCCCATTCGTAAATTGTGATGAACTTTTCCGTTCGCAAACTGAACTTTCCCAGTTCAAAAAATGAACGAAGAGACTCAGGCCAAAGCGTGCCCAAAATGTCTGCATAAGAACTTTATTATCCTTCACGTACACGGTAATCTACTCGGGCAGTGGAAGCTCGGTGTAGGCTAGGGTAGGACGTCGTATGTCTATGCTTGTAACTTATTTCATCTCCTTTAATTAAATGTTATTATTTGTTTATAATTCTCGTCTAAGTCAATCTCTTAGCTAATATTAATCTTGTTCCTTTTTTAGGATTCTAATTATTTTTATTGGCATGTTACTTTTAACTGTTTTTTCTTTAGCATGATCCCAAATCAGTAACTTGCCAAAGGGGTAATAAAAAAGCATTATTGAATACCTTTATTTTATGTGTGTGAAGCTTTTTAGTTTGATCAATATGACATGCTATAGGGGCCCAAAAACACTTCCGGGGGCCGTTTTTAAGATGTTTACTTAAGATGTTCGCTACTAAGTACGAGGGTTGCTATTTATATTTCTGGCCTAATAATGAAAAAACAAACATGCAGGATCGAAATTGGTTTTATTGCTTTTCAAAATATTCTCCATGATGATCAATACACTTTTGCATGCGTTTGAACCAATTTTCAAAGCACTTTTTCCAGTCCGATTGAGGTAACTCCAAAACATGCGTTTTGAATGCATCAACCGCTTCTTCGGAGGTCGAAAATCGTTGTCCACGTAATTTATTTTTGATGTGAGAGAATAAGAAGAAGTCATTGGGTGCCAAATCAGGGCTGTACGGCGGATGACCCATCAGTTCGATCTTTCGCTCCGTCAGAAATGCCTTTGTTTGAATCGATGTGTGAGAGCTCGCATTGCATGATGAGGAATGATTCGCCTGTTCTTCTGCTTTTTTCGAATTTCTCTGATGACTTCTGGCAAACAAATGGTCGTGTACCATTCAGAATTGACCGTCCTGCGTTGCTCTAACGCCACTGTTGCCACTCGACCGTTAATGCCGAAGAAACAGGCATTTGTTTCGATCATTTGTTTCGATGTGCTTCTTCCTCGAACAACTTTTGTTGGTTTTGCCTCGTCTTGGAAGACCCATACAGTTGATTGCTGTTTTGTTTCCGGCTCATATGCATAGATCCATGATTCGTCACCTGTGTAGATGTTATACACAGCCTTTGATGTACCTTGAACGTATTTTTCCAACATTTCCTTGCACCAATCGACACGAGCCTTTTTTTGAGCGTTTGTCAGATTATGCGGGATCCAACGCGAACAAATTTTTTTTACGCTCAAATGTTCATGCAATATTTTATTGATGCTAGTCATACTAATGTCCAAAGACGCCTCTATCTCACAGTATGTCACATGACGATCTTGCTTTATCAGTTCACGCACAGCATCGATCTTTTCTGGCACAACAACGGATTTTGGACGACCTGCACGGGATTCGTCCTGGATCGAACATCGACCACGATTAAATTCGTTATACCAATTTTTTACAGTGCTGTAGGATGGCGCTTTATCGCTGAATAAAGAATTAAGTTCATCGAAGCACTCTTGTCTTGACAATCCACGTCGAAAGTTATGAAAAATAATGGCACGAAAATGTTCACGATTCAATTCCATTTTTTGAAAGAGAAGAACTTTTCAATTTACTGTCAACAACACAAATGAAGCTATAATGGTAAATCGTCTGCTGAATTTATGTTTAAAAATATCAAACTTTCGATTAAAATCGTCTGCGGTCGCCCGGCAACACTTACTGTTGCCAAGGCCAGAAATATAAATAGCAACCCTCGTAGAAATGAATGAATAAGTATTTTAGGGAATTGACTTTAAATAACTAATATTTATAGATTTTCATAACATTCAGTTTTATCGAATATTAATACGTATTTCTTTTTTTCTTCACCCTTTTCTCGTTTAATTTTACTTCGATAAAGTTCACTTCTTTTGTTCCCCAAACAACACCAAATTTTACATTCTCAGGCGGAAAACAATAAAATAATTTTCAAAGCTCGAGACACTGGGAAATCAAAACAAATCCATCTAGTGCAATTTGTCTATGTAAAGTCATTCATCTGGAATAAAAACTGTGGTTATTTCAAGTTATTTGAGCTTGTTTCCATAGACAAATTATACTCTCATTTAAGGTACTATAAATAGGCGTCAAAAGGACATGGTTCAAGTGAGGAATCATAACAAACCGGATACTTTTGAACAGATGATAATAATGAGACTTACCATCCGAGGGATCAAATAGATACATGGTTCCAATATTGTCCATAAGAAGACATGATTCTTTATCTGGATAAGCAAATTTTCCACATTCTAAAAATTCTGAAGAGGATGTTAAATTATTTTCCCAAACAATATCGCCTGTTAATTCATTTAAACTTTTTACACCGAATCCTTCTTCTTTGGAAAAAGTAAAAAGCACATTCTTCGGTACTAACAAGTTTGAAGTAATTTCTGAAAATAAATAAATATAATATACTATACAATTTAAGATACTATAATAGTCAAAATTGAAGAGAAAAAGTATAAAATACGTAGTTAATACTTTGAAATATAATCGGATACCTGTCTGTATTTACAATTGATTTATTTAAATTAATTATTTAAAGTTTATTTATTTATTAAGTTCAATGTTCATACAGCTTATTATTTTTCTCATCTATATGTTTAAAAAATATTTCATTCATAGACAGATTTTTCTCTCCTTCTTTATATGTATACTAGTTTAATACTCGAACCCACACACTAGTTTTGTACTCCAACCTGCAAATTTCTAAATTCATCCAAAATATTCTATTTCCCATCTATGCACATCCTCCTTGTTTTTCAAGATTACGGTAGATACTGGTCGTCTGATCTATTGTTGGTTTCTTCTTGAGGGATAAGGTTGTTTGTGGTAATTTACCGCCAACCGCAGAAACTGCTTCCGCACTGACTGATGATATATATGGCATGCTCCTCTGACGAAGCTGCCATATATATCAGCGCCCCCACTTTATTTTCTTTTTTCTCTTTATTCTTTTGTTTCTTAGAATACCATTTCTTGTTACAAACTTTTTGGCTCCTCCTGGTGTGGTCATCCTTCGACTTCTCTTATGAGTTAAATAATATATATATATNAATAAAAGAATTAAAACTCTTTCGGCTTCATAAAATGTCTTTGTTAAAGAGTAAGAGTAGAGATATTCTATTTTGGGAATTCAAGGCTGAAAACATACCATTGAATAATAATTCGACTTATATTTGAAAGGAAGAGTTATTTTTAGAATCTTGTCCCTCTTTCACTTCCATATTAGGAAGCAGTAAAGGATTTGCCATAATGCGTAGAGTTACAAAGGTATGTACGACTGGAACCTAATTACACCAATCTCAGTAGTATTTAATGCGGGACCGAAGGTTTTCGCTTGTCTCTTGCTGAATAACGTATTCCAATAAACATCCGCCGGAACCATCCGGAGTTTTGTCCACACCCCTTCCCGTGTGGAGTGGAGATGTGAACTGTTGTAACCACCAGCATAACTTTAAATAAAGCTTTTCATGACATATTCTTGGTTTGAAAATTTTGAAACTCATGCTGATTTATTTAAATTGTCTGATATGCAAAAATTTTTATTTGCTAAAAGATGTTTGAAGGGTAATGCAGGAGAAGAATTCGTAGAATTTTACAATTCGTAGTACAATTCGTACTACGTAGTACGTACAATTCGTAGAATTTTAAATAAACATAAAATTAAATTTGCTACAAACTACTTTGATGATATCATTATATTTTCTAATTCTTACGATGAACATTTAAGCCATCTTAAAAAGATTTTTGATATTTGTAAACAAGAAAACTTGAAATTAAAGCTTTCAAAATGCTCATTTTTGCAAAAACAAATAGAATTTTTAGGTAACGAAATAAATAACGGAATTGTATCACCCGATAACCATAATATTGAAGTGATTAAAAAATTATTGCCCCCTAAAAATGCAAAATCATTGCAAAGATTTCTCGGATCAATAAATGTTTACAATAAATTTATTGATAGTTACGCAAGTATTCGACATCCTTTAAATAACTTGTTAAAGAAAGATGTAAAATGGGTGTGGTCAGAAAAATGTCAACAATCTTTTGAACTTTTAAAAAATGCTATTATTTGTAAACCAATTTTGAAATTTTTTAATCCTAATCATGAATGTCATCTTTTTGTTGATGCATCGTTAGTTGAATTTGGTGCTGTGTTAAAACAGACGGATGAATGTGGTGTATTGCATCCTGTAGCTTTTCATTCTCGTTCCTTAAGAGACCATGAGAAAAGCTATGCAATTACAGAACTTGAATGTCTTGCTATTGTAGATTCTTTAAAGAAATTCCATCATTATCTTTTTGGCCAAAAATTCACCATACATACTGACCATGCTGCTTTAGTTTGGCTAAAAAATGTTAAAAATTTAAAAGGTAGATTATTTAGATGGTCATTATTGTTAAGTATGTATGAATATGATATTAGATACACAAAAGGTTCTACTAATTTTGATGCAGATTGGCTTTCGAGAGATGTAACACATTCACTTGTCAAAATTGATGGTAAAAATAATAATGTTCATGTTTCACATTTGTTAAAATTGAATGAAATAATCGTTAATTTTGTTGATGTCAATAATGTTTTATGTGTACGTAAGAAAAGTTTTACTAAAATAGTTGTTCCATTTTCGTTAAGATTAAAACTTCCGCAAAGTGCTCATGATAAATTTAATCATCCAGGAGCGCAAAAGATGATTAACTTAATAACCCCTGTTTATTATTGGAACAACATCACTTCAGATATAACAAAATTTTGTAAACATTGTCATACGTGCCAACTAAATAAAAAACCGCGACAAAAAAAGATTTGGATCATTACAATCCTTACCCCCTGTTGATCAGTCTTTTGACTTGCTAGCAATAGATAGTGTTGGTGGATTGAATTACTATAATTCAGCAAAAAAATATTTAACTTTAATTATTGACCACCTCACAAGATACATTTTGGCTTTTGCATCAAAATCCATTAGCTCAGAACCCTATACAAATTTTTTACATCAAATTTTTCAAAATCAAGTTCCTAAATCCTTGTTGAGTGATAAAAACGCTGCCTTTACTTCTTCTCATTTTAAAAAGTTTTTGAAACATAATAAAATCCAACAATTATTGACAACTGCACATCATCCGCAGTCTAATGGCAAGGTAGAACGCCTTGGTCAAACAATAATTACTATTTTAAAATGCAAAATCAATGAAAAACCTACTAAAACTCCCTGGCCTACTTTGTTAAAAGATATAGTTAATACTTATAACTTAACTCCCCATTCTGTAACAAAATTTCCACCTGCATACCTCATGCATGGTAGACTCCCCTATGAAAATCCCTTAAATGAAGGAATCTATCCACCTGTTGAGGAAGCTAAAAAAATAGCAATTCAAAGAACTAAAGAATATCATGAAAGAAATAAAATCTATTATGATGCTAGATTTTTAGATATAGATTTTAAAACTGATGAATTAGTTATGTTTGAAGAATTTACTTATCCTTATACGAGGAAGTTGTTACCTCCTTTTAGTGGACCGTAAAAAATTCCAGAAACTAATTACAAAATAAATAAAAAGAATAATTTGAGTAAACAAAATTTTGAAATAGTACATGTATCAAAGCTTAGGAAATATCACAACCGACAAATGCTGAAATTAAATCATGAATAGAGTCCAAAAGAAAATAATTTTTTTTTTACTTTCTTCAAAGGAAGAAATAAACCCTATATTTTTGAGAGATCCGAATCACGTGTGAAGATGTTTACCTCAGCATCATTTAGATGTGAGGGCGATGAAAGTTGAACTTTTTTTTCCCTCAAAGGGAGAAAAATATTATAAACTATTTATGTATATGTCCAAACTGGATCTCTCAATTTCCCTCTGCTTCATGAAATTCTGTTTTCCTCCATTTTAACGGAGAATACAGATTTTCATCAAGTAAATAACCCCTTTTAAAAACACAGAATCCTAAATTCTGAATAAATGACACTTGTTGCCCAGTTCGTTTGCATAAAAATTTTGTATATTTTTGTGTGAAAATGTTTTTTGAAAATTTTAGTAGAATAGTTATATAAACATGTTTCATTTTTCTTTCTGTTTAGTTGCCTAAACAGATAAATTGCATTATCATGTTTTTATGTTTGTCATTGTAAGTAATTGATGTTTGTCTTTACATAAAATTGAAAAAATGTTATTTGTAATAGGGAAAATGAACAGTCGTACCAACCTAAACTTTAAAAATTTAAAGTATTCTAAATTTATTTTTCGGCTTACCAAAATTTTTTTTTGGGGGGATGTAATACAAAAATTATAAATAGTTTTGTATTAATAAAAGAATTAAAACTCTTTCGGTTTCATAAAATGTCTTTGTTAAAGAGTAAGCGTAGAGATATTCTATTTTGGGAATTCAAGGTTGAAAACATACCATTGAATTATGATTAAATTTATATTTCAAAGGAAGAGTTATTTTTAGAATCCTGTCCCTCTTTCACTTCCATGTTAGGAAGCAGTATTTGATTTGCCATAATGCGTAGAGTTACAAAGGTATGTACGACTGGAACCTAATTACACCGATCTCTGTAGTATTTAATGCGGGACCGAAGGTTTTCGCATGTCTCTTGCTGAATAACGTATTCCAATAAACATTCGCCGTAACCATCCGGAGTCTTGTTCACACCCCCTCCCGTGTGGAGTGGAGATGTGAACCGTTATAACCACCAGCATAACTTTAAATAAAGCTTTTTATGACATATTATGGCTTTTGACTGCATTTTTAAAGATGAATACACCAATGATAACAGGGATGTAGCACTGTTAATATAAGTATATATATATATATA